AATGTTTATCACATACCCTAAGATCTTTGAGATTTTCAGGTGTAACATCATCAGGGGCACATTTCAGTTCATACCGCCCAACCATACTATCAAATTTTCTTGATCCTGCCTCATTCTCACATCCCTTCAGACAGCATTGTACACCTCCCATCAATCGCCCATGCATAAAAACTGTTCCTCTTATTTCTTCCAAAAGTAAAAAATCAAATAAAGGCTTTCCACAGCATGACAACCAGTACAAATCACTTGTTATTCTGAATTTAGTATTTATTTGAGATCTTACATCTTTTATTGTGGCATATGGTGCAAAAGTGAGGGTGTGTGGCTTGCCTGTTATATCAACAATTTGAATTGTTGTCATCAACCTTTTAGATCTTATCAACATGCTAAAAAGGAAACCAGGGTGGTGTAATTCAAGCAGTCTGGCACAGGGATAACTTAAAAGTACACCAAATGAGAGATATAAAATTGGAAAAAGGAGTGGCATTTCTGTACAGGATCTGGAACTGGCATCAAAGGTCTCCCCAAATATAATAATAGTCACAACATATAAACCCACAAAGAATGAAAATGGGAGTGCAGAAATTATCAGCAAAAAAGCAGCAGTTGCCAAGTAAACAGGATATTGAAGTTCACAGTTTAAAGAACAATTTTTTGTAATACCAAGGTTCAGTAAAAAGCCATGAGAAACAAAAAGGCACACAGTCATTAGACAGGAGAAAAAAAGCTTTGATTTTAATCTCCAAAAATATTGTACCAGTGAAAAGTTGAATTGGGGCTTTACATGTAACAAAATTTTGTAAACTGGATCAAGCAAAGATAGAAATAATTTCAAGGTAATAACAGCAGGGAATAGAAGCATTTCTAACAAACAATTTAAAGTTGATCTATACTTAATCATTTGCCTTAACGAAACCATGCACAATACTTTCCTGTAAAACAGAAAAGTCAGTGTAAAAATAATGGTGGTTAAGGCTAAAAGGGAAACAAGGAAGTTTGAGAGGTTGAAGTTTTGAATTACCTTCACTTTGAAGTGGATAATAAAAAAGGACAAAACAGAGGAGACCAACATTTTTACTACATGCAAAGTTTTACTTTGTAACTCAAAGGAGTGAGGGATTTGTGTCTCCAAAAAAGATGGGGGCTTTGAAGGGATGCAGAGGGCACATGGAAGGTTTGAAAGGCCTGGGAAAGATATTGCAACCATTGCAAAAACAATATGGACACGCACAACAGCCATCACAAGATACACAATCTTATAATTGTAAGGACTAAAAAGCCAAGCAATGTCAAAATATAAATCATACAACAAGAAGCCCATTGTCAAATATATACACAATAAAATATTTTTATTCATCATGATGTTTTCTTCTTTTAAAGTAAATAATTATATAGATTTTTATTATATAAATATGATCTTACTTTATTAATTTTCTCACTAAGTAATTTTTCCTTTTTAAAATAATAATTATATCCTCTTGAATTAAGCTATGTACTTTTTATTTAAAATATTTTTTTCTGTCTCTTTTATATGTCTTTATTATTATTATTATTGTTTTTTCCTCAAGTAATAGTCACACTAAATTAATTAAAAGAATAATCTTTTTAAAAGGCAAATACAGAAGCCCACAACACTGCTAACAGGCAACAACAACAATGACACAGGCCAGTAAAATACGGGGAAAAAGCCAACAAAAAGCTGCAGACAAATGCAAATAGCAAATTTTACCAACAATAACAAAACAGAATAAAACAACCAACAGCAGTAAATTTTTAAAGCAGTAAAGGCCAGCAATTACTTTGATCAAAACAGAGGGTCACCAGATTAACCAGCAAACCTTAGACACAAGCAGTAAACAAACAAGCAAACTTAGCACACAATGACAGCGTTAAAGTCTGCAAAATTTACCCCAGACAGTCAAGAAGCCAAGAAACCACACGCGATTCAACAGTATCTTCGCATTCAAAAGGATTGATGAGCAAAATGGCTCGTTACATCAACACAAATCAACTATCGTATCAAACTTCTGTTATTAATGAATTAAACCTCCTCTTCTGAGGAGATTTGGTTGGCAATTTAAAGAGAAAACGGCTGACGTTTAGGGTGGACTTATCTTGTTCCGAGTTCAAAATGGCGCCCACGCCACTGACCCGAAGTGGATTGGAGTAGAATTTAACACAAACGTGCGGACAAAACAAACACAGCTTTAACACACAAACAATATAAGCAACAAAGCTTGCACACTTACGACAAATTGTTTTACCAACGCTGAACAAAAGCCTGTATTAGCCCTTTCTTTGTTTAACTTCGATGGCTTCTCCACGCTAAACTGATCAAGCGACGCGAAGCCCTGACTCGTTGCTATGTGACGTCACACTGTCATGATGACTCGGCCACAGACAAATACCCGAAAACAATGGGTGGTTTTCACGTTACGTCATCGCCGCCATGCTGGTGGACGGTAAACAAAAGATCGCTCATTAGCTCGCTTTGTTTGTC